AGACAAGGGTCAGGCAACAGATCGTTTATTAAGGAAATCAACACGTATTTATGTATTTCATATACATTATTATAGATTATTTAAGCAAACAAACACAGTCTTCTGATTGGTTGTTTCCCACAGAAAGGTATCTTTGTGACTGTTTATTGAATGTCAGATCATCTATGTGCTAACTGTATCCGCCTACGCAAAGCCTTTGTTCTCATTTTTCTCACGACCAATATTGGAGACATAAACATTGACGTAAATTACTGTCCACCAATTTTGACTGACAGCCAGCTGTCACCACACGATAATTAACTTTTGCGCTTCTGTTTTATCCTTGAAGTCAGTAAGCCGATTGTTAAGGCTTTTTGTGATAAAGAAATGACTCTATAAGATAGGGTTCAGGTGATTGTAATTGATTTTCATCCAAGTACCATAACCATCCGTCCTAAAGTAGGTTGCTAAATGTTCAGGTCGGAATTCAGCTTGTTAGTACTTAGATGGGGAGCGTTTCATCTGAATCTTGATAAACTTCCTTTTTTTACCAGTAATGATTGTAATTTCAGTAGTCGATGGTTATTGTAAAATTTGATTAATCTTCTAATTTCTTTTGGCTATTTTATTATTACACTTATCACTTGGTTACTCAATAGTAAAATGGTGAACGATCTTTCTTTGCTACTATCGCAGCACTTTTAATTTCATTTATTGTATAAGTTACGCACCTTAGTTTCATTTAGGCGCGTTTATCACACTTCTTGGAGAGAGAATAGGCTGTTTAACAACTAATGATGATAGACTTTTAAATTGTGCGGTTAAGTTTTTTTCTTATAGGTGTATTTTCCAAGTTCTATTAACCTCAACGATACCTATCTCTTTGTAAAGTCTGATGTGAAATGTTAAAAAAGCATCCTAATATTTCTTAACTTCGCAAATTAATAATTCTTGGCTTAACTTTATACTGACAATGCAAATGTTAATGGTTTGCACCGACTAAAGACCATGTGTGCGAAATAGATGAAAGCTGACTTTAGCACTAATTGGTTATAAAATAGTGGAACCGATACAAATCCTTTGTGATGATAACTTTTATTGATTTTTATAACACCTGGTTTCATATTGTTTCTCATTCATATATAATCATGAGTCATCAACAACCATTTCGCTTCCAGAAATTATTATTGCATTTATATTAATTAACAAATACGCGTTACTAGTGGGTATATGATATGTCACGTGAATTATTAGTTATGAGAACTAAAGCAGATAAATGAATCCTACTCAATTCATTTCTTTTGTAAGTGATCTGCTTTGGGTAAAGAAGTTAATTGCTGTGTATTTTTGAATCAAATGTTGTTTTGTTTTTGTTTTTTTGTAACTTTATCGACAAACTTTTGTGCTCTCGTTCTCATGTGATGATGATGATGATATTAGAATGAGGTAAATGAGTAGGTAGAATTTTCTTAAGTTGTTTAATATAACAAAAGTTTTGTTCTCATGGAAATCATTACATGATTGTTTAAATTGTTACTCTGGATTTAATGCTTATAATATTTTCACCTCAACTGTGGTTTTTTTTTTAATTAACAGTGAGGTTTACAAATATCTTTGCTACAATAATATAAGGACAATTAAACGTTAATGACTTTGATCCTGTTCTTACCACTGTAGACCAAACTTGATTTTGCTGAAGAACATAATTCATACATCACCGTTTTATTCTTCTCATTGTGCATTTGATTTTCTGAAGGAAGCGACAGTAATTATATGTACGTTGCCGTGATATTGTGCGTTGGGGCTTATATGGTAGAATACTGACCAGCCACATATATGTGGTCCGAGTTTGACTATGCTGGCCGATGCACACCTAAAATAACTTCGCTTGTCCGGTACTAAGATGGATAATGTGGGAAGGTTGTGAGTGAGGCCAGCAACTTCCTCGCGTAAAAATATAACACTGCCATTGGAAACTCAAGTTTGGAGTTCTGTGTTAGCTGGCATAGGGTCAAGCTGAAAAAAAAACAGTGGTGGTTAAACCAAAACATAGCCTCAACAGTTAGTTTTAGACACGTATGAAGGTGTGGACTTCCTGATTGGAGTCCTCGGGACGGTAGAAACCGATGAGGGCTGGAGACAATTGGTGATATGGATTAAAATCGTTCTAAATGGCTGGCACAGATACATCCACTCTTTTTGACTTATAATACCCAATAAAACTATATTGTTCTTCGTTATTACTATTCTTTTGTCTCACACCTCTGCTTACTGTCTCTATTATGTATTTCTTCTATTTTCTTCTCTTGCTTTGTGTGCTACATGGAGTGTGGCGACTGGAACTGCCGCACATTTGTGCAAAGTTCTATGTCGAAAACAGACAGACAGACTTATTCTTGAATACTTCCACAGTTCAATACTGCGTTAGCAACAGAATACTATGTATATTTGAACATTCTATTTCATGTCGTTTAATTTTGACCGGATTCACACGCTCAGTGATAGCATTCATGTCGCCCATCAGGATTTTGATATGGCCATTTGGGACGTTGTCCATTATTGCTTGTAGTTGTCTGTAGAACGCGTCCTTCTTCTCTTGTTCTGAGACGTTTGTTGGCGCATAGCATTGAATGACTGTAACTTGTGTCATTAATATAAATAAGCATCTGTTCTTAAAAGAAATGCTGCCTAGTCAGTGTTTACAAAATGAATAGTCCATAGTGAAGTCTAACTGAAATGTTCAAATAAAAAATTTGGTTCTCCGGACACTATGAATAACAACAACTTTTCAACTGATCTATTTGCCTTCCTAGATTAAATTATATGAAGGACGCCACTGGCGCACTCTGCCTCAAATGAGTTAAGTGCTCAGCAGGCTTTTGAAGTAATTTTTAGGATTGATGAGCACTATTCATTAGAGCAGGTAGGTTTACGGTGTGGTATACTCTTTTCAACAATTTCTCCTCTTCAGGTTATTACAAGTATAAAATATAATATTTGTTATCGTTACAACAATCGACAGTTATGCGGCGAATAATAGATCAGTTATGCGGTGTTAAAATAAAAAGTAGTATTTGTGTGACAAACATGCTTGGCTGAAATCGATTACGATTACGATCTCCTCCGTGTTATCCTGGCACTGACGACCCACTCGTCGCTTCCCATCTGGATTTCACTGTGCGCGATCTCATTCGACGGCCTTCTCAACGTATGTCTGATCCATCTCGACTTTCACCTACATACTTGTTGAGCCATTGGCTATTGGTTGGTTTGTCGTCTGAGTTTCTTGCTATGTCGTACACTAAACTCACTTTTAGTTTACGCATTCTTCACAAAAAAAGAATTAACGATACTTTTCAATGTGTCCACCCAAATTGTCACACAGTGGTAACATATTTAAGATTGTATTCGTCTAAATAATAAACTTTTACTATTACTGTAAACATCGGTCAACAGAAACACCTATTTAATTCAAGGTTTCTAAACTCTCTTGAATTTATTTAATATTACAGTGTACGTTCACTGAGTTCCGAGTAGAAAACATGGCTTCAGAAATATATCACCATCATAACAAACAAAAGGTTAAATTATCTATAGTTTGGTTTGTAAGGGTTAGATATGTTTTTACGATTTGATCACGGATTGATATTAGTTAGGGAATCATTGAAAACCAGGGAGTACTGGATTCCCAAACTAGGATGAAACAGCAGTTGTCCAGTACTCCCTGGTTTTCAATGATTCTCTAACTGATATCAATCCGTGATCAAATCGTAAAAACATATCTAACCCTTACAAACCAAACTATAGAAAATTAATCTGATGCTCGCTAGTGACTTCCTACAGGATGGAATTTCCTGGAGTTCTAGTGAGAAGTCGTGGCCAGTGAGGTCCACTTAGATGTCACGTTTGTGGATGGATGTCCCACCCACGACAATGGTTGGGGTCGCGCTAAATGACGAATTGGTAGAAGTTAGAATTCATGGGCTGGCCATTGAATCGGGTCCCATTGGCTGAAAGGTATACGACCTTGCCTTGTAACTGGAAGGTCCTGGGTTCGAACCATGGTGGTGGGTGCGTACTGGCGATGATTCCCAAACTAGGATGAAACAGTAGCTGTCCAGTACTGATATCAATCCATGATCGACTTACCTACTGCATATATGTGCAAAGTTCTATGTTGAAACTAGTCAGTCAGCCAGTTCCACTCGGAATGCAAAGGAAAGAAAGTAGTGATAGTCATTGCTTGACATCAATAACAGGATACACCTTGTCTGTATCAAATTCATGAATGTTTTTTGTTTTGTAAATCGATTTATACCAAAGGTAAATCCCACTACCAGCAGACGCTAAACACTTCAAGGGGAACATATTTAACCCTGATATCACAACACTTAGTGCTTTGCATGCATCCCTGATAAATTTCTAAGAATTTATTTGACTTTAAACACTACTGCTGTCTCAATCACCTTATTTGTCAAGCTGAATAATACAAAAGTCAGTTTTTTTTGAGTGGACTATAAAATGCTTTGTATATATTCCATCTATCTGTAGCTCTCAACATTTTTACTCCCTAATCCCAAGAACAAAAGCAGATACTGAGGAGAAAACTTTTCTGAGGTTAGAAGTGTTTTTGTCTACTTGTTCTTAGGCATCATCCCAGATTTGATTTGATTTGATTTCTTTTCCCAACTACTTTAACTACCTGTAGTTACCAGTAGTTCTGTATCATTTTATCAACTCTGTATTAAGTTATTAAAGTATTTGTTGTGTGTAGTTTGTTTAATTTGGTTTCCACTGCACATAATGTTGTTTGTTGTTCCTCTTTAATACCTCATCAATTGCTACATATTTTTTTGTGAATAGTTAACTTTTTGCATGTTATTTACCACTTACAATCTTTCATTTTAACTACCTACCTATTTGTTAAAACGTATAGCCTGATATGACTATATATACATATATATATATATATATATATATATATATATCTTCCTTTATATGTTTTTTTCTATTTGTATTAGAACTTTAAACCAAATCATCGAGCGAATGATGTAATTGCTACAACTGGCACTCCTGCTCTTATCACAGGTCGATTTGTCCTCGGTGGATTGGATCTAATGAGTTTTTCTGGTGAAAAAGTAATTTCAATACTTTCATTTTTTTTCTTTATTTTTTCATATTAAACGAAAGCTAATTTCATTCCTTTAAGAGTAATAATTTGTTTAAAAGTGTTTTAATTTCCACCACCACCAGCAGCATAAATGAAGTTCAAGGTTTAATTTTATTTGGTAAACAATGATTAAGCTATTCGAAATTATTTTAACTTTTTGAAGCTGTTTAATGGTTGATCCATTTTTTATAATTAAGACGGGAATAAAAGGAAATTAGTAGACCATATCTGAAATATTTGTTTACTGTTTAGATGCAGACTTTACGAAGTATGTGTGGTGTTGTCTTACCTGAACTTGAATTCCTCCGTTAGATGATGTGCTGTTTGTTGATCAATTCGCTGACAACTTTTTTTAGTGCTTAATTGGTGGATGGTGACTAGCAGTGGAATCCAGGATGCGCATTTCGGGACTCTTCAGCTGGATGTACCCGCATTTCTCAGTAAGTGATGATGTTCCCACCGAGGCTGGAACCCACTACCTATAGTTTCAAACGCATCTGTACAAGAAGCCGACATGTCAATCCTGAAACCGAGCACTTCGGTCCAATCAGTCGACAGGAAAATCTCAAATTCAACAAAATTAATATGATCCGTTGCACAAGAGGTGGCTGTCGTGGCCCAAGTGGTCTAGTAGAAAACGCCTTGGCGTTTGAAACTATGGGTACTGGGTTCGAGCCTCGGTGGGAACATCATCACTCACTGAGAAATGCAGGTACATCCAGCTGACGAGTCCCAAATAGGACGAAATGTGCGCTATCCTGGATTCCACTGCCAGTCACCATCCATCAATCAAATACTAACTCATCGCCCAGACATCGTCGAAGCATCTGCATAAGAAGCCGACATGTCAACCTGAGACCGAGCACTTCGGTCCAATCAATCGACGGGAAAATCTCAAATTCAATAAAAAAACTTTTCAGTGTGTTTTGTTCTCTTTACTTATGTACTGATTGAAAAAAGTATATCCTAGTCTTGTTTAAACATGTATATGCGGTCATTAGGAAACCAATAGATATCAAATTTATTAATATCAACACCATATGATCATTTGTAATACTTTCTGTCTATTATGTACCATTCTAAAGTGTCTTCATCACTTTGGCATACTTAAGACACTATCTAAATAATTCAGCTGACAGAGTAAATGAAATGCATATTTGACTTATTTTAATGTACAACAAGAATACAGTTTCATTTTCATTACAGTAGAAGACATGTAGAAGACAGGGATATCCTTGACCGACGTGAAGAACCTAGAAGACCTGGATTTCGCGCGTGGATGATTTATGCTTGATGTCACACAAAATCGAAGACTTACTAGCGAAAACCGACAAACTGGTCGAAGAAGCAGCCAGCGAAGACAGGACTCCAGGTGAACATAGACAAGGCGGAGGTTATGCAAATAACCAACCAACAACAACAGCAACATCCAGTGCCAATCACCATCAACGGGAGGGATTTGAAAGAGTTCACTTCATTCACTTATCTAGGGAGGGAGCATTGTCTCAACTTCAGGAAGTCGGAAGGGACGAGGATGTCAAATTGAGCGAGAATCGGGAAGGCGAAAAACACATTCATCAACCTGAGACCAATCTGGAAATCCTCGTCACTCGGCATCAACAACAAAATTTGGTTGGATCTTCAATGCAAACGTCAAGTCAGTCAGTTCTTCTATACGGATTAGAAACTTGGCGGGGGGGGGGCGGGTCACAAAGAATATTTCCAACAGCCTGTTGCAGACTAGACCTTTATCAACCAACAACTGTCTTCGCTCTACACTGAAGATCAGATGGCCGGGTCGGAAAGAATCACCAACAAGAAACTATGGAAACAAACAAAACAAGAACCAATCACCCAACAAATATACATGAGAAAGTGGAGATGGATTGGACACTCACTCGCTGAGGAGGCCGGTTGGTAACATCGTTCGAGTGGAACCAGGCCGAAAGGGAAGCGGCGAGTGGGACGTCAGTGCAAGGGTGACATCGAGGAGATCGTGTGAAGAGGAGTTGAAACAGTATGGACTAACATGGATGCAGGTGAAAAGTGCAGCAGAAGATAGAAGCAAGTGGAGACATGCAGTTGAAGCCCCATGTTCCACTAGGAACCCAAGAGAACAATAATAATAATAATAAACAGTTGAAAAGATGGCAACAAATGTGTGCACTGTTATTCTGAATTCGATGAGATGAATTTTCTGTTGATACAGCTCTATTGATTGTTAATTTCTTCGAACTTTAACAGTATATTCTCGCTATTTTTCTTCATTGATCACTTACTGTTTTGACGACTGACCATAATGACGATGAAGTTGATTTCATTTGATTATCTATCACTTGAGTACGCTTTATTCTTCACACTACCTTACTTAATGATGATACTCCATCACTTAGTTATTAGTGTTGTAAATTGTTTTTGTTTTACAAAATAACTTATACTGACAGACAACTTTTAGTCCGTATATTTATAGATTTTCCCATATTTGTACAATTAATTAACAGATTCGTGTAGAAATCCAGTCTGTCAGTGGATCTTGGGCGTATGTATGCACAGAAGTCACCGATTCTTCTGGAAGATTACGATTTTTCTTACCAGAGCAGCTTCATTTACCTGATGGACTTTATCCTATAAAAATGACACCTGAATCAGATCCTGACCACCCTGTATTGATTACTTTGGCGGTAGTACCTCCACAGACTGAAGTTGTTGTCTTCAGTGTAGATGGTAGTTTCGCGGCAAGTTTGTCTCTTATGGGAAAAGTGAGTTGTCGTTTTTTTTGCATCATAAAAGTTTTTCACTTAGTTTTAATCACATTAGATGGTTGGAGGCAATTGGCAGGAAGCCTTGGACCCTAGGTTTCGTGCTAGTTGGCACTCATCAGCAAGGCGTATCTGCAACCTTGAAGGAACTCATATCCCTTCTGATATTCGAACCCGCGTCACCCAGTGAGTTCTGCAGTCAGAGACGTTACCACTGAGCCATTCGGGCTCGCGATTGACCTCCTGTAGGACTGTAATGGATATTCGACACTTGTAACTAGTGTGATGCGTCTAGTCCTCTGATTGGTGTAGACTGAATTCTATCAGTCAGGTTGTAATGTGACCACCATTCTAGCTAGCTCGCTATCACATTAATGTTCAGATAGTCAATTGAATATTTTGTTTTGTCCTAAGGTCTTTCTTGTTTGAGGAATTTTAAGAGTTATTGAGTCTGCCTGCATACAACTTTGAGTTAACCTATATCATATTGAGAGTGCAATAGTTTATTTTGTATCTTTCTCATCATCATCTGTTTAATTCTTCTTTTTTTATAGGATCCAAAAGTTTATCCTGGTGCTGTTGATGTTGCACGTCATTGGCAGGGACTAGGATTTTTATTAATCTACTTGTCTGCTCGACCAGATATGCAAAGACGTCGAGTAACTAGTTGGATGGCAAATCATAATTTCCCATTTGGATTAACTTTCTTTTTGAATGGTCTATACACTGATCCATTGAAGCAAAAAGCTCAAATGTTGAAAACGATTATTGAAAATGTAGGAATTTCGTTCTATTTTTAATATTTATTTTGTTTCTAGTACTACTACTTTTATGTAATGCTTAAAGAGAATGTATTTACTTTCGAGTAACAGAGATCGGAATTCTCCTCATTTCATGATTTTGTATACTGATTGCTATTGTTAGTTCGCTTTTGCAAACTAATAAATACATTAAAACTTTTATTTATGTATTTTACAACGAGGAATATATTTCTGAGACGTTTCGGTTAAAATGTCAGTTTTTTTCTCCAAGAGTCAGTTTTGTAGGGATTTCATTTGTTTCAGGTTAGACCGTTGATTGATTTCAGTTGGAGAACCATTGAAAACCAGGGCGTACTGGACAGTGGTTTCATCCTAGTTCGGGACTCATCGGCAGTACGCACCCACTGGGTTTCGAATTGGTAGAAGTTAGAATTCATAAGCCATTGGCTCCGGTCCCAGTGACTGAGTGGTATACGAGCTTGCCTTGTAATTGGAAGGTCCTAGGTTCGAAATCCAGTAGGTGCATGCTGTCGATGAGTCCCAAATTAGGATGAAACAACAGTTGTTCAGTACCCCCAGCTGGTTTTCAATGGTTCTCTATCTGATATCAATACGTGGTCTAACCTGAAATAAATTGTCAGTGAAAATTTCATAATATATAGTTATTCATAGGGAGTAATAAGTGATACTTCATTATTCGTTTATACAGTCATTCACTTTTGAAGTTTGGAAATAGATTGTAACCGGAAATAAATTAGTTGAATTTTTCAGAGGATATGAAAAATGTGCAGTTGCTTGTGAAGAGTAGCGAACAGTTGTTCATAGCTCGTTAATTGTCGCTTTTATTCACAAATGTCCCGATATAATATTTTACAAATTAATATATAAAAAAAATCCCCATTTAGACATTTAGAAAACAGAAAGATTGAGCGAAGAAATATTTACTTGTCAATTAGATCCTCATCTCATTCTGGCTCTACTCTAATATATAAATATATAGCATTTTTATTACAGTACACACAACAGTTTACCAATCAAGTGGCACTGATATGTTTGTTAACAATAATTAGTCAGTGTCAAAATGTCAACGGGTTGATAATTAACGAAGAAAATCAATACACACATTTAAAAGGTAGAAATGGTTAGAATAAATTAATTTTACAAGCATTTAAAATTATTTATCACATTCCTACTAATCTTAATTTTGCTGTACGAGTTCGTTTTCTACATACAGCTGAAGCGATAGGAATCCACCTGAAGAAGCCAAAACTGTGTGTTCAGAAGAAATTTGTACAGCCACTTTCCTTACCTTGACCATCGTAACATGAATGCATAAACAGAACTGCTTCACCCCTCTCCCCCTAAACCTTTAAAAACTATAAAAAATTATAATTGTCCAAATTATTTTTTATTGTTATTATTTCTGACCACTTCATCTTTAATTTATGTGTTATCCTAGTAAAATTAATTTATTCTAACCATTTCTACCTTTTAAATGTGTGTATTGATTTTCTTCGTTAATTATCAACCCGTTGACATTTTGACACTGACTAATTATTGTTAACAAACATATCAGTGCCACTTGATTGGTAAACTGTTGTGTGTACTGTAATAAAAATGCTATATATTTATATATTAGAGTAGAGCCAGAATGAGATGAGGATCTAATTGACAAGTAAATATTTCTTCGCTCAATCTTTCTGTTTTCTAAATTAATATATGTTTAAAAAATGTAAACAAATGTGTCACCTAGAAAAAGTCAAATGTTTTTATGGTTTACTTAGTATTGAATTGGATTTTACAGAATCATTACAATCTTAATAACTAGCTTTATAGAAGCAAGTAGATTAACGTTCACACATTGGGTGGCTAAAAAGTAACGGTCACTTTAAAACCTGGAGGTCCTGAGTTCGACCTGTCACATAGCCCCTAGATGGGCGTTGCTGAAGAGTTTCAAACTCTGTGTGTGTCCAGGTTTCTAACGGTTCTTCAAATGATGTTGGTTTGTGCCGAAATTTACTCTAAAATCAATCCAGTCCCCATAGTATCCTAGCACCTGAAAATATCTGAGTATTTTGGAAATCTTTCGACTCTACACTTATCAGTTCTTGAATTCCTTTCGGCATGCAAGCACATGTGCAAAGTTATTTTAGATCTGTAAGATTTATATTTAATATTTCCATATAAATAGTCCTGAATGTTTCAACATCTTGATTTCTTCAGTTATTTAAATTTCTGCTTCTCATTTTTATTGAAATTATTAGGCCAAATTACGAATTCATTGTGGCTATGGTTCTGGTAAAGATATTAATCTATATCGTTCTCTCGGTTTATCTACTCATAATGTTTTCTTGATTGGGAAAGTGTCTCGATCCCAAGCGTCAAATGGAACTGTAAGTTCTTTTTTTACAACTAAAGTATATTGTATAAACCACTTGTTTCAATATTCATGGTTTAAAAAATGGCTTTCATTTTTCTGCAGGTCATTGAAATACACAAGTTTATCATGACAATCTATCGATAACAAACAATTCATCGAAACGTAGAACATGAAATTTTCAAGTGTTGGTTTTGTATGGATTTTGTTTGATTGTATAGAGGATTTCACCGTGAGCTGACATCAATTAGAGAAACACTGGAAAACCTGCAGGGAATACTGGGCAGCTATTTCGTCCTAGTTTGGGACTTTTCAGCAGTATGCATTCATTGGGGTTCGAACCCAGGACCTTCTGGTTACAAGGCGGGTCCCAGTGGCTCAATGGTCTACGAGCTCGCCTTGTAACCGGAAGGTCCTGTGTTCAAACCCCGATGGGCGCGTACTGCTGAAGAGTCCCAAAACTAGGCTGACGAAATAGCTATCCAGTACTCCCAGGTCTTCCAGTGGTTCTCTAATTGATGTCAGCTCATGGTGAAATCCTCCATGCAAGTAGAACATGAAAGTTGAATGGTTAGGATGTTTAAATCTTAGGGTGGTATATTCTTAACTACGATGCGATAGCTGCCTGTACGACTCCGACTGGATAAGCTAAATGCAAAACGTGAAAAGTTAATAATATAGGAAGTTCTCTAGTTAGTAGCTATTCAGTCTACATTTTAAGCATTTATCAGAGTATACTACTCATGTAATGAAAGTTCAAACATCAGTTACTGTGATCGCCTTCTATGTGTAAACGTTCCTGCCCTCCCTTCCCCCACCTACTATAAAAAGTGTTTTGTCTGTTATTTCGAACAGTCACACTAATATTGAACCATTTTGTCCTACTTTGAGTTATATTTGTGTACATACATCACATGGTATTTTAATATTTAATAGTAGTGTGCACACACAAAATTGTGTCTAGCTATAAATCAATGTTGTTGATTAAATACCTTCCTTATCAAAGAGAACAACATGGAAATAAGAGTAATTTTATCTTATTGAGCAGTTTTAGTAGTGGAATTTGAACTGGATACAAATATAGGCATCCAATAAAATCTAATGACAGCAATATGGTGTATGTGTTGATTTCTAAATTTTAAGATGACTATGTAGAATAAATAAACTGGAAGCATGATGTATAAAACAACAGTCGAAGAGAACACCGTTTGTATCTGAAGCCAGTCTTCTTCTTCTTTCTTCTTTACTTCGGCTATCTCCTACGGGAGGATGAACCGGCTTCATGAACATCTCGAATGTTTGTAAGAGAGTTGATGAAGTTTCATGGGAATTGGGTACGAGTGATGTCCCCAGCATCGCTCGGCCTTTTGTTTGAGAGTGCAGCTCTAGCCTTTACACAACCAAGTGTGACCTACAAGGCAGTAGGAGTGGAGTAGGGAGTCCACTATCCATTGGCAGCCGGTGACCGGAGTCCAGTTCATACGCCTTTTTGAATGGGGCCAGACATCCAGGGCATCCAATAAGCCCTTTGTCCATACGTCTGCCGGTGAGCTTCATACGCCAGTTGTTGGAGGTTTGGAATCAGGGTTTAGCCATCTCCTCTAGACTGTCATTCAATAGACAGTCAACCCGGTGAAGAGCGCCGGGAATCTGCTTTTGCCCTCTCACTTCGGTGAAATAAACACCTCCGCCACGTGAAGGCAGTGAGTAGGACTTCCTCAGGAGAGGCTATGTAAGACGCACGGTCATATGGGAGCATTTCAAGAGGTGTACGGAGGGGTGGCCAACCCGCAGCGCAAGACACCCACCCCCGACCATCCTGAGGCTTTGGAGGCCAGTTGATGACAGTGATAATTATATTGATGCCTATAAAGCAAAAAAAAATTTACATTTTACAATGTTCTTAAAAAGATAATACTTGAAACGAGCATACAGTTGGCAAAGCTTATATATATATTAAACAGAAGAGTATTTAGGGATAACGTTGACTCCTAGACTCCTGTCAATGAATTAAGTTATTTATAGCTGTAGTTGTATTCAAACAGTATAGATACCTTTCTCTCTTTGACAATATGTTGGCACTGATTCAGTTTTCACCGTAAACGGCCTTGTATGGCTAAAAGTAGGATAGGCTTCAGTCTTAATCTGGCCATGCTTTTATAGCCTCTGCCAGGTAAGTCCCATTCACTGTCCTCACGTGGCACAGGTATTCTTCACAAGAGTGGGTGGGCGACTAGGGACGTCTGGGCACCAGGAGATGTGCCACACATTATCTCATAGTTTGTACGATTGCTGGGACACTGCTTAGACGCCCAGACCGAAGCAGGTGGTTATTTTTAAAGACCAACTTTCGAATCTTTGACTCGCAGTCTGATCCATATGGCAGCGGAGCAGTGTCAGCCGGTACGTTCCTACGGTTTCCGGTAACTAAAACAGGTCCATATGCCATTCGATTTGTTGGGATTCTGAAGCTCATTTACACCATCGTTTTGTTTTTAGGGTTTTTCAGCCCCTTTAGGCAGACCTGCATTTCTACCAGTCTGGTTGTAATCATCAGATGTTCGCATTCGCCCTTTTACTTTTGTGATGAACTCCACAGACGCGTTTGAAGGCAGTGAATAGGACTTACGTGTCAGTGGCTACAAATTTGGAGCATTTCGAGCGAAAAACCTAGGTCTACCCTTCTTCAGCAGTACTATATCGATTATGGGGTCTATTTGATCAATACAATTTGCTTTAAGTTTCATTGACTTTTATTTAAAATTAAGTTTTCGAATTTTACTGTTTTCATAGATGTTCACTTTTCCTCAAATTGTGTGATGCGCTTCTTTTGTATTCTCCTTTCTTTTAACTAGCAAATTCCATACATACATCCGATTATTCCTTTAACTTCCCAGATTTATCTGTCTTTATCAATATCTTTATTATACATAGGTAAATCTGAGTACTTAACTTTCTGACCTATCCATATAACAGTGTCTTTATGCATCTCATAATTTGTATAATATTTCAGGAGGATGCAGATATTTATTTAAACGTAAATGTCTCGTTAAATTACTTTGCCGTCCATGACTTAGGTAATCACTTTTCACAACTGTTGTTGACATAATACATAAAGTAAATACACCTTCTATTTATTAGAAAAGTATGTTCAAAGTAGCACATGATAATCAATAAATTGATCCAATCAATATTATCAGAGCATATTGTATCAAATAGGTAGTAAAGAGTATCGTGTGAGCAGTGTGCTTACGGTTCATATATATAAAGGTAGCTCTAGTTTCAGTTTATCGGAAGTTTTTACTAAATTTTCATTCTTTCAATTATGATAAAATACCTTTCTATAAATAAAATGAACAGATTTTCTACTCATTGACTCTGGCTGGCATGCAGGATAAATACTTCCCGTATATTGTTAACCCCTTTTTTTTAATATCATTGAATCTTTGGCATAACTTGAAATCACTAGTTATAACTTCCTGTTATAATATACACTATGCCATGGAATACTGTGTCACGTTAACATGGGTAATAAATAAGTAAATCACCCCTATTAGCACTTTTTTTTCTTTAATACGATTTTTTCTTCTCATAGTCATCCTTTTCACATATTCCTGTCTTATTTTTTTTTGTTTTCCAGCCATTGTTAAATGGATATTCAGCGCATTTATCTTCGTTAGTGAACGGTCATCCTTTGTCTAGACCTGCTGTTGGAGCAATGAGTGTAGCAGTTCGCTGTTGTCCATTTGACTTACCTTCTGTGTGTCCTTCTTCACCTTTACTGAAAGAATCTGATTTCCTTCGAAATAATTCTGCCAAATTTTCACCTTTATCAGACAAAACGTTGTCATCTACTACTACTCTGAAAGAGAATGAGAACGCCTAAGTCTTCATCAGGATTTTCTGTTGTATTTAAACAGAAGTAGTCATAGACGATATATAAAGATCAATTATATTACTATTTTTTTGTGAATTTGTATTTTATTTGTTTCAATGATAGATAGACTAGCTGTGGTTGCCGGCTGGTTTCTTCTTTTTTTTAAAAAAAATTCTATAATAGTTGGAAATATTTACATATATGAAGTAACTGTGTTGTGAATGCTTAAAATTATTACTGTTGTATTTAAATATACCAGCTCATTTAAAAAAATAGAATGTTCTTCATATCAAATATGTTTATATGCTCATTTAAAAATCCGTCATTCATTTCTAATTACTTTTCCTTTTCTTTTGCTTTCCTAAAATATACATCCTACAGATTATCATTCCTCATAATAAAAAAAGACTCGAACTACATTCCTGCTTACTCTATTCTGTACAAGTGATTAATCATACATATATTCTTATTTTCTATTTGCTCCCTGCATTTCCAAATTACGTAATATCCACACTTTCATATATATATATATATATATATATATATATATGCTTTGTATTCTTCAGACATTTCATTGGAAGAAAGAGTATCGATTTTAAGTAACTGCTTGTGATCCCTCTGTTCAGTTGGCAAATTTACGCTTTTGTTTATTAGTTAAATTCTTTATGCATTCTGTAAAAATCATTGCCATTATTATTATTTTTGTTGTTGTTAGTCAATTGATTCAAAATAAATACTTGTATCGTTATATAGTAATAAAATTAAATTACCACTCTTACTGGGAATCGGTTGTAGTGGGTCTTAACTGGTTGGAGCCACTAAAATATGTTTACTTAGTACCATCTTCTTGGAAGAGAACTGTCTTGTGAAAAGATAAGGAGTGTTCAGATCAAAACGCGGGACTTGTGTGTGTGCTGCTTGACTGGTGCGCTTAGAATATTAGGTAAAGTGGTTAGAGACAATTTTAGGTGACGTATTGCTAAACCGTTCAGATGTGTTTGCATTGTATCTTTCCTTAAGATGTCGAACATCTTTACTAATCTTGACCTAAATTATTCTCCTTCGTACACTTATATTGTGTCAACTATATGTACTATCATCCTATTTCAATGCTATTCTTCGTTTTAAATTGTGCAGTTTCATGTATCACATCACACTTTTTTCCCTTCACGTTCCCCAGTGGAACATGTGGCTTCAAGCTAGAAGCTTGGAGTTTCTGTAGCAGTGTTCATTTTCACAGGATGGGGTTGCTAGCCTCATGCCTAATCTTTCCTGGCTTAGCGAGGTAAAGGAGTGCGTCGGCCGGGGATCGAACCCCGGACCATGTACATGGTCGGCGAGCGTCCTGTGCCACTGACGCACACATCACGTCACACTGACCTGTCTTAATTTCGTCACAGTTAACTTGTGACTCTCTATTTTGAGTAAAGACTATTTTTGGTGTAATGATGTTCATCTTTTCTCTGTCGATTTCTCAACAATCAATGAAGCGACTGTCACTATCTTAAAACAACTCCATTTGTGTAATAGGAGAAATGTAGTTATGGAAATATATGACTGTGAAATTGATTAAAGATCCCCATTAAAAATTTCAAAAGATTGGCTGCTGAACAAAGAATATTCTTCTCGATAATATATCATCGGATTCTACAGTTATATATCCATAATAATGAAAGAATGATTGTTATTGACAACATATGTGTTTCTTTAAATGTGACGTTTAATCATTGACATCAGAATTTCAAAAGTCATTTGCAAATGGATTATTGTCCAAAATATATGTGTATGTGGTAACTTGTATAATTGTAACAATAAATTGAACAGAAATATTACAAAGTAAATGATTATGAATAACAACGAATCTATAGTAATGAATTCTCATGAATCATGTTCATATTAGATTCCATTCATATTGATTATAATCTTCAGATGGATGAGTGATCATGTCAAGGACGAGGGGTAGAGAACAAATTTGGGTAGTATTTTATGTGCATTGTATGTGTGTAAGTTAACAGCTACGTTTATAAATAGGAAAACAGGTTAGTTATTGTAGGTGTAAAGACGATAGTTAGAGGAATTTATATCTACAGGATGGAGGGCTATATCAAAAAAGGTCGACGTGATAGGGTATTAATGAATTCTCAGACTCCACAGCAGGCTGGGGCAGGTAATAGTGGTTGGACCTGCTTCTTCAGTACACAGGGCACTGAGTTTGTTTAGGCGAATTACGGTAGCTTCTGCAGTTTGGAGTATTATTCAGTACCTGAATGCTTTTGGCAATTTATTTGGTACCTGGCAGATGATAGAGAAGGATTCTTCAATGCTAAACTTTGTGGCCGGCTTGAACCAGATTGTCTGATATCGAAGTTTTGATGGTTTTCACTACACCTTTATTTAGCTACACTGGTAGGTGTTTCTGAGCATGAAAAATCAAGTAATTGTAAAATTGTTTATATTGATTTTGTTAATAAGATAAAATTATGCAGCAACATGTTCTCGAGTTACATATTCATCCAGTCAATTAAATTAGCCAGTGTAGTGTTATTATTCTCACCGAGAAGCATTAAAATTTTGTTTTTGCAGTGCTAGTGTTTAGCAGTAGTACTAACAATTGGAAACGTGATTAGTGTGGTAATTTTATGCTAATGAAAACAAATAGGATATATGAACAAACTCTTTGTAGGTATACTGGCAACTTCAGAATGCTAACTATCAAGTCTTCTGTAAGAATAAGTCTTTGAAACTGGCTAATCGAACCTTGTATAAAAAGTCAAAAGTAAAGTATCTAGTGTGAATCCACTGTATGTCACATAATGAGACAGGTATTATCGGTGTACACAATTTTTCGGTAAGTCATACCAGATGATGTTTCTGAATACACTAATTAATCCAGATCAATGTGTGACCTATCAACTTAACTCTACAGAAGTAACCTTTTGTTTGCATATCGAAATGATTAGCTGTAAGTCTTCCTTGGTCTAAATCTATCTTCTGCTGTTTTTCATCACATGGTGACTGCTTTTTCTTCCTGAATATTGAGTAAGACTATATATCTGGTAAAAGAAAAACTTTGGATGTTTTTGATTATGGTCATCTAATTCACAAAATGAGCCTCCTATTACTCACTTTTTGCCATTTCTATACTTCAACTTAGTAATGAATAATTCCTCTATTGTGTCCTGCTATTTAGCCATATCGTGTTCTCCCGTCGCTCATAACTGATCAGAACATAAGGGCTTCCCTTATATTTCAATAATGGATGAACACCATGTTAGAAATTCAACTATTTGTGGCTACTAATTTACTGTTCAATTTAACATGCGTCATATTCTTATTGACAACGTTCATTAAAATCCTGTACACCACTTGTACAATGCAATAATTCTGACTCGGTTATGCAGCTAGTGATATTATTGTCTGTCATATCAAATTTCCTATGAGTAGGTAATTCGTGCTCTTGTTTGACTCAAAGTATAGTGTGTTTCTGACTAGCAGCTCGCTTAACCCTTTTACTATTAAGACTGTCTGTATCTACTTGGCGCGTCATAAAGAGCATCTCAAACAAACTACAGACCTTCATTAACAGTTGTCTTCGCTCAATACTCAAGATTAGATGGCCAGAAAAGAACAGCAACAGGGATCTCTGGAAATGAGCGAACCAACCAGGAACCGAGTGTGAAACAAATAGGCAGGAAGAAATGGAGATGGATTGGCCATACTCTGAGGAAACCATCAAGTGACATCACTAGACAAGCCATTGCTCGAGTGGAACCTAAAAGGGAAGCGGCGAGTTGGTCGTCAGTGCAAGGGTAACTTGGAGGAGGTCATGTGAAGAGAAGATGAACGCGTGTGGGCAGACTTGGAGCGGGGTGAAAAAGTTGGCAGAGAACCGAACGCAATGGGGACGCGCAGCTAAAGCCCTATGTTCCTCTAGGAATTAAAGGAAATAATAATATCTACTAATTGATTTTTATGAAAACTTGGAATACTTCCCACTCACGTTCCATACATACGGCAATCAAGCTAGTGAATTCATTTCATTAAGAGTAACTAATGTAACAGCTTTCTGTACACATTGCGCTCCACCTGATATAACTGCATTCGTGTGTTTCTACAAATACTCTGTGTATCAGTATTAAACTTCTGTTGAAGCTGATTTTACATATTTTCTTAAATCACTGACTACAACTTGTGATTAGAACACTTTTAATTTTATTCAATATGCTTTTGGTTTACTCAGTATGTTTTATGACTAACAGTTGAATCAATGTGATATAGGAAAGCACATTGTTGGGTCGGGTTGAATTCATATCGATTTACGAATCTAAACCTATGCAAATGTTATTTTTTACATCAAAAGTTAGCTAATGTGTATCTGAACTGTAACAAAATTTGTTGCATTTGAGAATGAGTTTGGTTCCCACTACACTTATTGTGTTCGTAACCATTTGATCACTTTGACAACCAATTTCCACATCTTTTGTACTTATAAATGACATGTTGTATATGTTTTGTCTTCATCAGTCTATTTCATCTGCGAGATAGTTAAGTAACTTTACTGTTTTCAAGTTTGATTACGGACTGACTTCAGTTAGTAAACCACTGAGACAGTCATTCCGTCCTTGTTTGAGACCCTTCTGAATTATTCACCAATGACTCCACCGAGAATTGAAGCCAGGACTCTTAGGTTAGAAGACAAGCTTGTCGACCATTCAGTCACTGAAGTCAGTCAAATCTCCGAAATCAATACTTGGAAATTGACTTTGTTGTCTCGAACAATTAATTATCGTTGTATTTTTCTTCTAAACTGAATTTATACTACTAATCACTAGTAAGTAGTATGGTTTATATTCTTTCTACTACGTTTTCACCCTACCACCGTAATTATTGATTTCCACTCAAGGTGATCTCATTTAGTGTATCAGCATTCTATTTGGTTTGAAGTAATTATCTTACTACTATATATATATATATTCCTTTTATTGTCTACCCTTTCTTAAAAGACATTG